GCTAAACTTATCGTGAAGGGATTTTAAAGAGTAACTATATGAAGGAGGAAAGAAGGATGAGTTGCCATAATAAATTAAATTTAAAAATAAAGAAATAGAAAAGAAATGATCGAAGAGAGGGAAACTGAGGGAACCGAACGGGGACATATAAAGATAAAATCAAAGAAGGAGTTATTTACGGAAACGGACGAAGTGAAGCTTGAAACAAGAAATATTAGAGAGCGGGCTAGTCACGGGTTTCCCTCCCGGCTTGAGATGGGAAGCGTAACAGGAAGCAAATTAAACGAGAGTCGGAATATTGAATCAACCCCGAGAGAGGGATCATGCATGAAAGTGCTTCCGAAGGAGAAGACAAGTGGAAGTGAGTGCACGCTGGCAGTGTTTCAACAAATAATGTGCTTACGCCTGTGCGGAAGTCAAGAGTGCAGAGGTTTGAGCCCTCTAAGATGTAATCCTAATTGGCATTCCCGGGTTTGATGTTCTGTTTTCATGGTACCCGTCCGGTAAACTCGACGTGGCGGTGTAAGAAGGGCTTTTTCAGACGGGAGAAAAGGGAAAACAAGATAAAATTCTGCTCGGGTTCCGCAGCTCGTTCCCATTGACTACCCTTCAGATCATCATCGGCGCCAGGTCCCGGTGGCAGATCCTGATGACAGGATATGGAAGCGAAACAAGCAGAGAGAAAAAGCAAAGAGAAAGGATGTGAAGAGTTTGGCGCTGAAGGTAGAATCGATGGGTATCCAGCAAACGACATGCAATCTAAAAGTCAATAAGTAAAGGTAAAGAAGATAAAAAAGATGAAGATAACGGCTGAGTGTATATGCAGGTGACTGATTGGCAGAATCCACCTGGGGAGGAATTAGTTCGTTCTCTCCCCAAGTGGTAAGGAGAAGAGAAACATCGAAAAAAAAAAAAAAAAAAAAAAAAAAAAAAGCAAAAACGAAAAGTCCGGTTTTGGCTCAAGGGTTCGAGCAAATAGGATGGCCGCAGAGATGGGCGCAGCTCGAGATGCTCTACAAAACTCATGGATGAGGAGGCACAGGGAAGCGAACTCAGTCCTGCGGGCCCCTCGGCGTGCAGGCCGTGATTGAGCGTCAAGCACCGGCAACAGTGGCCGAGCCCCGTCGATGTTGATTGGAGGAGGCCTTGCCATTTGGAAAGCGCATGATATGCAGAAAATGCCAGCAGTCGGCGCCCTTTTTTGACCCTGACAGGCGGTGGCAGACGCAGCGGTGGCTGATCGGAAGTTGATGTGGATGCAGATGGAGTTCAGGGTGTTGAGCCTCAAATCGGCCTCCGTGACAGCGCCCATACGGCACCATACAGCACATCAAGGGGTGCAGTTGCGTATTATTACCACTGCATGACGATACAGTCGCTGTGCTGCCTGACGACCATCCAGGGCTAGTCCCGATCGGGCGCCGTTAGGGCACCATAAGCCCAGAGCCAACCAAACCGCAGCCCTATCTCGAGCGTCGTCAGAGCGATGATGACGGCGCTGGCAGGGAGGTGCTGTCGGGATGGCGGGAGATCGATTCCTCGGGGGTCG